GGGAGACACAGAATCTAGAAGCAGGCTCCAGGCTTTATCAGCACCTGCAGAGGCCGACAAGACTCAGAACTCCCCAAACCCTGAACCTGTGCCTAAATTAGGATGCTTAACCAACTAGCATGAGCCACCCCACCAAAATTTCCTTATGCATGTTTTTTTAGATAAGCTTTTTTTGTCTTGAATAGTTTTACATATATATATATATTTTTTAATTTTACAGAAAGAAGCGTGCATGGGTGTGACAGAAGCCCAAACAGCCTCCACAGTGTGAGCCCAGAGCCCATCATGGGCTCAGTCTTACAAACAAGGAGATCATGACCTGAGACAAATTAAAATTCAGTTAGCAACAGACTGAGCCACCCAGTGCCCCTGTCTTGGAATAGTTTAGATTTACAGAGAAAATTTAAGGTGGTGCATAAGAGTTCTCATATACTCCATATCCCGCGCTATTAACATCTTACATTTGTATGATACATTTGCCATAGTTAATGAACAGTATTGATAGATTATTAACTAAAGACCATATTCTACTCAGATTTCCTTAGTTTTTACCTAAAGTCTGCTTCGTTCAAGTCCTCGGGATATTACACTACATTTGTTGTCTATCAAATACTGGTCATGTTTAATTCTGTATGTGTGGGCATTGCGAGTTTTAAATTCAACTAATCACCTACCTACCATTTAACTCATGTGGTTGGCTGACTATATATCTCTCAGGATTCTAGAGATCGGAAGTAACTGGATTTTAAATGCCTGAGAAAATCTTTAAATGATAATAACTTAAAAAAAAAAAGAAAAGGAAAGGCAGAGTCTCAAAATGATGATGTCAATTTTAGAATTTAAGCAGATTTAGCTGGTTTGTATTAAAACAAGGAAGGCTTGCAATTTCACTTTGTTAAGTGAAATTTAAACTATTTTGGTCTGGCGATAACATCGACTATAGGTGCCAGTCCAGCACAAACCAGATTCCATAACTGGGCAGATGTCTTAACTTGATGAATCCTAAGTAAATGCCTTTTTTTCTCACTTTCCCCACTCCTTATGACCCCCACTTGCATATATTTATCTTGCATCATACAGTTCATTGCTTCTATGTAACAAACCAATTTCTGTCTTCCTTGATTGAAAATTTAAGTTCTCGAAGAACTTTTCATTTCATTCTGTCTCCCTTAGCACCCACACAGTGCCTCGATGCAATAAAATAAGTTGATGGTATTGTCTGGATCTCTATCTACCCCCCTCACTTACAACTGTTGTGAACACGGCACAACAAGTTTATGAATTAGATTGAAACTTTTTTTTAATCTTTTTATTTGTTATTTAATTTCCTTCTTTTAGTTTATACCCTGGGCTCAGCTTATCAGCACAGAGCCCGACACGGGGCTCGAACTCACAGACCACAAGACCTGTGCCTAAGTCGGATGCTTAACCAACTGAGCCACCCACACGCCACCATATGCATGTTTTTTTAGATAAGCTTTTTGTCTTGGAATAGTTTTACATATATATATATATTTTTTTAATTTTATTTATTTTGAGAAAGAGAACGTGCATGGGTGTGACAGAGAGAATCCCAAGCAGCCTCCACAGTGTGAGCCCAGAGCCCATCATGGAGCTCAGTCTTACAAACAAGGAGATCATGACCTGAGACAAAATTAAGAGTCGGGTGCTTAACAGACTGAGCCACCCAGGTGCCCCTGTCTTGGAATAGTTTTAGATTTACAGAAAATTTACAAAATTAGTGCATAGAGTTCTCATATACTCCATATCCAGTTTGCCCCTTTATTAACATCTTACATTTGTATGATACATTTGCCATAGTTAATGAACTAGTATTGATAGATTATTAACTAAAGACCATATTCTACTCAGATTTCCTTAGTTTTTACCTAAAGTCCTGCTTCCGTTCCAGGATCCCACTCAGGATATTACACTACATTTAGTTGTCCTATCAAATACTGAGATGTGTTTAATTCTGTATGTGGGCATTGCAGGTTTAAATTCAACTAGGCATCACCTACCTACCATTTAACTCATCGTATGGTTGGTATTCTCTCTCAGGATTCTAAGAATCAGGTAACTGGATTTAAATGCCTGAGAAAATCTTTAAATGATAACTTAAGAAAAAGGCAGAGTCAAAATGATGATGTCATTTAAATTTAAGCAGATTTTAAGCTGGTTTGTATTAAAACAGGAAGACTTGCAATTTTCACTTTGTTTAAGTAGAAATTTAAACTTATTTTGGTCCTGGCACAGATAACATCGACTAGATTACAGTCCAGCACAAACCAGATTATAACTGGGCAGATGTCTTAGCAGTGAATCCTCGTAGAAATGCCTTTTTTCTCTTTCCCACTCATATGACCCTTGCCATATGTTATCTTGCATCATACAGTTCATTCTTCTATGTGCGTGTTCTATCTTCACGGTGAAATTTAAGTTCTCGAAAGACTTTTCATTTCATTCTTGTCTCCTTAGCACCCGCACAGTGCCTCGTTACCCAGTAAAAATGCGTTGATGGTATTTGTGTCTGGATCTCTCTATCTGCCCCCCTCACCCCAGCACAGTTCATTGTGAACACGGCACAACAAGTTTATTGAATTGAATTGAACTCAAAACTTTTTTTTAATCTTTTGTTGTTGTTGTTTTTTAATTTCCTTCTTTTAGTTTATACCCTGGGCTCAGCTTTATCCTCCATGTCACCTTTGACTTATTTTTCCTTTCAAGCATTTTTCCCATTGTGAGTATTATTAGGAGTTTTTATAGTGTCCTTCACTATCTGATTCCAGTGTACACATTATGACTTAACAGAAATTTATATAGTTTTGTAAAAGAAGTTCCCTGATTAGAGTACTTTTCAACCTGCTCAGTATTTCTTTTACTTTATTAAATAAGATTTTGCCAAGGAATTATCTGAAGAAAAGGATTTAACAAAGTTGGAACTTCTCTGTGATTTTCATCATCATGCCCGCTGCCTTACTCTAGACATTCACAATTAACAGAGTTCTTCTTTTTTTTTTTTTTTTTTTTTTTT